TACCTTTAGATAATCTATTGGGATAGGGAACCTAAGGTACATCCATCTACTTCCGGACCATGGGTCCCCTACTGCTAAAAAAATAGGAGTCTATGAGCCAATAAAAATTATTTTCTGATCCCATTTGATGTGTGCCATGGAATTAAAATATGATGTCCGTGAAGTATATAAACCCATTTTGATGCCAAAAAGTGCTTAAGCGACAGGTGGCAAAGGTTATTTTAGGTTTTGTTTGAAAAGACGTGGCGAAATGTAAATGTTCCTCTCACAAAATTGACATCATCGAACCAGACACAGAGAAGAGGAAAAGCTTAGTTTTGTTTAGCGAGCTTCGAATCCTTCTTCCAGGATGATATATACACACAATTATTATAAATGTATGTAGTTTGACTCTTTTACATTAGATTCTTCAGAAAAAAAATAGTAGAACCGTTCTATATAACTGGAACTGCATGTTTATGCATTTGTCTTTTTGCATCTACACTTTGTGTACATGTTTTCACTCTGCAGAAACTACACACAGCTGTTTGAACCGATTGTGATTGTGATTGATGATGAAGATCCTACTCCTAATGAAGCCAAAGCTGAGCCCCCAGAAGAACCTGTGTCAGTAATTTAAACATTTGAATCCAATTAACTGCCATCTTGTTCTGTACAAGACATCATGCAATCATAAGAGAAGTATATACACATTTAAAAAATAAGTTTCCCTTTTTTTTAGAGACACCAATTTGCAGGCACATGAAATTATTGCAAATTTGGCACTGGAACTTGACCACAAGAAGGTCAGCAGGTTCAATATATCAAGGTCAGCTGTATGGGATGGAGCTGTTAGAGGATTTCGACGCAGCACATACTCTGACAACTACGACATGTTCATCAAGTTTAATGATGATGCTGGCAGCTTTGAAGAAGGTTTGGATACAGGTGGCCCGAGGTGTGAATTCCTCACACTTCTTATGGGCAGTCTGAGAAATTGCCCCATCTTTGATGGACCTCCAGAGAGCCGTTATCTTAATTCAAGAGGTGGATGTTTTCTCTGTAATTATTACAATGGAAATTTTAATAAAAATTGGCTTATTTTTTTCATTAGCATATTTAATAGCAATTAACCATGATAATTATGTGCCCTGTATAACAGCTGCGAGGCAAGATGAGTACTTTTTAGCAGGAAAGATGATCGCTGTATCCATTGTGCATGGGGGATCAGCACCACATTTCCTCTCCAAGAACCTGGTCAACCACATCACAGGGAATCAGAGTTTCAGCGCCACTGTAGAAGATGTGCAAGATGAGGAGATCACAAAAGTTCTACATCAGGTAGAAAATTACCTAGGCTCAGGGAATGTAATAATAATAAATAAAATATATAAAAATATACAGAGTTGAATATGTGCAAAACAAGTGGCATTTATATACAGTGTGGAGTGCATAATGTTGAAGTTCCAGTAGTGAAGCTGAGGTGTCTATGACGTGTTCAGCAGTCTGATGGCCTGGTGGAAGAAGCTGTCTCTCAGTCTGCTGGTACGGGACCGGATGCTGCAGAACCTCCTTCCTGATGGAAGCAGTCTGAACAGTTTATGGCTGGGGTGACTGGAGTCCTTGATGATCCTCCCCGCTTTCCTCAGGCAGCGCTTCCTGTAGATGTCTTGGAGGGAGGGAAGCTCACCTCCAATTATCCGTTCAGAGCACCGCACTACTCGCTGGAGAGCTTTGCAGTTGTAGGCGGTGCTGTTGCCATACCAGGTGGTGATGCATCCAGTGAGGATGCTCTCAATGGCACAGTGATAGAAGGTCCTGAGGATGCGGGGGCTCATGCCGAATCTTTTCAGTCTCCTGAGAAAGAAGAGGCGCTGCTGCGCCTTCTTCACTGTTTTGTTTGTGTGTACTGACCACGTAAGATCCTCAGCCAGATGTACACCAAGGAACCGGAAGCTGCTCACTCTCTCCACAGCAGCGCCGTTGATGGTGATGGGGGTGTGTACTTCTCTGCACCTCCGGAAGTCCACTATCAACTCCTTTGTCTTTGCGACGTTGAGGGTGAGATGGTTGTCTTGACACCAGTGGGTCAGGGCGCTGACCTCCTCCCTGTAAGGGGAGTCACAAAGTATGTGTGTTGCAAGTCAATTTCTAAGAATAATATAATGCAAGTCAACTTCTGCGGATATGTATTTCTGTACTGGTCTCTTGTCAGTGTCACAGGGTCAGCTTCCTGTTTCTACAGAAAACTGTGTCTGGTGAAATATGTGTAACATAACTTTTGAAGCATAATCAAATAAAACAATAAAAATTCCTTAACAACTAATAATTGGTTTATAGCTATAACTATTGCAGTCTTCTAAATTGTGTTTAAATGTCTTTACCTACTAGATCTTTCATTATAAATTTGGACAGATTTCAAATGCATACACAAAAACAATTCATAGTGCTCAGAAATTAACTGTGACAGCAAAAAAGAAGAGCTCATTGGATTTCAGCATTTAAAAAAAAATAGTGCTTTCACACTGGAATAAACAAGTGTGTCAAAAAAGGGATCACCTCTTTTTATAAATAACTGAAAAATTAATCATGTTGCATGACTGATTATTATGGGTCATTGTGAACAATAAATGTATACTAAATTAGAGTTCTAGTGTCAAAAGGTTAATAGCGTGCGACAGTGGCTCAGGAATTAACTTGTTGTTCATCAGATCACACGGATGCTACCGAATCAGGTTTTTCATATACATCTGAAGGTCTGAAAATGTCAGTGGCTGCTGTGATGAGCAACTGGCCATCCTGAATTTAAAAGGAGTAATGAGTTTACCGTTGAATGACACTTTGGTTTCTTTCAAGGATGTACCATCTGAGGTACTCCTCCACAAATGCTTGTTTCTCACAAGGCTTGACGTTTCTGAGGCATCCAGCAGTTTGGAAGATTGTGCTGTTTTGCAAAATAAGATTATGCAAAGACTCCTCTGATTCAGCTTTCAGGACCTATAAAAAAAAAAAGGTTTACTGTAAGAAAAACAAAAATAATTTTCACTACTTTTACGATTCATTCAAACATTGGATTAAAAAAATAATCAATTTGTTATTTCACTTGTGTTGTTGGGAGGTGGAAATCTGTCCTTTCAGATTACAGAATCTACCTTGAACCTACTTTCAAGATATGATCCAACACGGATAACTTTTATCCTGATTAAATCTTTTAAACTGGCCCCAAGTGTCTTCTAAGTAAACC